CCAAAGTGCTGCTCATAGGGGGTCATATGATTGTTGGGTTTTTCTCTGTGTGTGTTATTGTCGGCTCTACAGTATAAAGCGCTCTGAGGCGACTGGTGTTGTGATTTGGTGTTTGGTGTATAAATAAAACTGAATGAAATCATCGGGCGCTTTTCACGAGCTGCTGTGGGGACGTCAACGTCTCTGCTGGGTTTTTGAGATTAATCCCAGAGAAAGCTCTCCGGGATGGGGAACAGCAAAAACGCATCATTAATGTCTCAATAAGTAACAAAGTCAGATTAAATATAAAAGAAAACATTTATGGACGCAGAACAAACCTTTGTTCTAACAGAGCTCAGCGTCACACAGTGTTTCCACAGTGAGAGGTCACCGTGACGATCAGGCATCAAAGCCTTCAGTGAGTTTAAGTGTAAATGAATTATAACCTGACTTTCCTCAGTGCCGCTGAATATGTGGAGACGGTTGATGCTTTGAAACAAACTGTTGGAGCTTTTTGTTCTTTAATAGATAGAAAAAGTTAAATGTTTGTTTAGGCTGTTTGATCTTTAGAGGGATGGATATTTAATCTTTTTGAGCTCATTTTTGTTCGTTTACACAAGTTTATTGTTAGATTTGTTTTTGGGTTTTTTCAGAATCCACCCGAGGAGCAACAACAGCAGAAGCTGTTGGAGGTGGTGGGAGGTTAGATCTGAAGGATATTCTGAAAAGCTGAAGGCAAAACATTCATATTAAAACAACTCATGATCATTGTGACAGTAATAAAATGTAAAGTCTGGAGGTGCTGACTGTGTGCTTCAGACTCCCAGCCAGGACCTGGTCCCGCGGCGGGACCTGGCTGGTGGTGTTTGCAGGGGTGTCTGGAGGCCTCTCCGAGGGCCCACGCGAGGCCCAGCCTGCTCTGTGAGAACCTGTCAGAGCCGAGGAAAGCGGAGTTTGGTTCATCTTTCCTCCAGCTTTCATTCACAAGCTCACAGGTGTGGATGAAAGCAGCGACTGTGACTTACTGCATTTATAGCTGTTGGATACAGTCGTTGATTGTATTGATTGTTGTTTATCTCATGCATGCATCAAATAAAGTATTTAATCTGTAAAACTGTCTGTTCGACTTCTTTAAACTGCCAGTAGCTCGTCCTCAGTCATGGACAAACACAGATCTGTGTCGGCTCCTTGTTGGAAGCTTCTAAGCAGTTTTCTCTAAACACACGTGAACATTTACTTTAGTAAAAGTCGACACGCAGCCTGAAACCTGTGCAGGACCAGAGCTGCTGTTGACCACAGAGGTTATTTAGGGCTCGGCCTGTAGGGGGTGCTGGTGGTGTAGTCACACCAGTATAATGTGACGGCCAACCTGGGCTTCTGTACTGGGTTGCCATGGCAACTCTCACCAAGATGAAATGAACAAATAAACTGCACACACACGTTTTAGTGCCCAGGCTGCAGCAGTGGCCTTTGACCTTTAGCTGCTCACGGTCCGTCCTTCACCTTTAAAGGCTCCCACAGACTCTGTGTCAGGATCCACACATCGTCTCAGAATACCATCACCACGGAGGATCCACACAGGTGAGACGCTGCGTCGTCCTGTAACACGAGGGAAACGTTTCAGACAAAATACAGATTCAAGAACTGCCTGAAAACATGTTTCAGTCTAAAAGCAGCTTCAGACTAATAAAGACCAAAGTTTTATTCAGAGTCATGTGTTGTATAAATGCTATTTGTTTGTTAGTGTGTTTT